TAAATTCGCGTGATTTTTATTTTAACCAAAGAAAATAATTTTTTGTTGACAATTTTCACAAAAAAATCAAAACAAACTTGTCAACAAAGGACAGATTTGAGAAAAGTTTGTGCAAAAAAGTGTTTCTCAAGCATTGTTGAAAAATTCTTATGATAAACTATTTTCATAATATTATTCTCAAGCTGTATTGTATTTTTGGTATGTTGGGATGGTACAATGAATACAAGGTAGGCTAACTTTGAAAAAATTACAAGTATGGAGGTCTACCTGTTTGGCTTGTAATGTCGGAATTACTATCAAAACAATAAAAAAGCAAACAACTTGTTGCATTGATTTTGAATAAATAATTTAAAACCGCGAAAACTGAATGAAAATCAAAATTTCTTTTCAAAATCATGTACTATATATCTCTTATAGTTTATTTCGCGACAAAAACTGTAGATTTTGTCGATGCATACGTCGCAATAAGCATTTTGAAAACACCCAAATTTGAATATTTTCTGAACAATTTTTTTATTATTGAAAAGAATACACACACATAAACAAATTAAGTTGACATATTAAGCCAGGAAAATAAAAAAATTAAAATCATATGGTAGTTCTGCCCTACCTTAAATTCATTGTACCATGATTGTATGTATGTATAAGATAAGCCATTGCCTCAAGTCATGCTCAATATTATGACACCTTTTATTTCTGTTATCAGTCTCAAAACCCAAAGAAAATTCCCTATGGAATATTATGGCTTATCGTTTTTATTTTCTTTTTGAATGAAAGCACTTTGAAGGCCTGTAACGGACGGACGGACGCGTCATTCCAATATTGACAAAGCGTGACAAGTGAATTATTACAACCAAGCAAGTGTGATTAGACAATAAACACACAAGCACTCAAACATATATGAGTATTTACAACTGTCTGTAAAGTATTCTAAACTAAAAAAACTGAGAAAATTTAACAATTATCTAATCTGACGCACACACACACACACAACGTCACACCAATTTGGAATAAAACCTATTTGAATTTTATCATATACTTTATCTCATTTTTTCTTCCCATATTTTATTTCAGAAATTGAATGCCTTCTTGGCCCAATATGCCCGTTTCTTCACTGCCGATTCCGGTTTGCGTGAAGTCTTAGCCCAGAAAATTCCCGCTGAACAGGAACGCGTCAAGAGCTTCAGGAAGCAATATGGCTCCTTCAAGATGGGTGAAACTACCATCGACATGGTGAGTAAAATATGTCTCTCGCATTAAATAAATTTTGTTCATAAAAAACCAAGAATAATGACGTCAGCAGTTCCTCCATCAAGTTGATAACTATTCAAAAGAAATTGTAAAATTATGATTACGTAATACAAATGGATATGAATAATACTCTGCTGTTTGTCTGTTTCTATTGAAATATCCTTCAATGGAAATGTTACTGGAATTGTTATTATTATCGCGCCCTTCCTTTGTCATCTAATGAATATTTGTTTTTTTACATAAAAATTCATTTTCACTTCAGATGGCCGGTGCTTCTTATGCATTTTCTTTCGATGTTGGAAACAACAACAAACGAATCATGATATTATGGCCAAATGCCAAGCGATTAAATAATAGACAGGGGAATGACGACGACAACAGCAGCAGAAGCAGAATATCATGAAATTGTTAAATTTTCTTTAATTTTCTTTCAACTGAAATGCCGGTTTCCTCCTCCCCCTTTCCACACACTGCTACTATAAGGCGGCGGTACTTCTAAAATTAAATGTGCATTTTCTGCTTTTCGTGTTCTAAATAATTTTCATGTGATTACACAACGATTCACTTTCTTGTTGTTTACTTCGAAAGACATTGGGAAAGGGGAAATGGTCGCATGATGAATGCACAGACTTTGTTTCAAGTCGATTGACTTATATTTTTATGCATTTTTTGTTGTGAGTTTTCACAACAACCACCCTCCCCCACTCAAAAGAACTGCATATTGATTTTCGGTTATGTCATTTTTTCTTCTTCTCTTTACAATAATTGCATAATGAAAAAAAGAAAAACAAAACACGAAATGACATTCCGCTTGTTTGTGCCAGTTTTTTTTTGCTAAATTGTATTACAATGAATTGTGGAACCACCAGGTGGACACAATTTGTCCCAAAATGTAACACATTTTTAGGTCATATATACAACAATAACAAAGTAGCAAATTAGCTTAACCCAAGATATGCCCTAATACTTGCAGATGTATGGTGGTATGCGTGGCATTAAAGCCTTGGTTACCGAAACTTCAGTCTTGGATGCTGATGAGGGTATCCGCTTCCGCGGCCTTTCCATTCCTGAATGCCAAAAGGTATTGCCCGCTGCTGAAGGTGGCGCTGAACCCTTGCCTGAAGGTCTCTTCTGGCTCTTGATGACCGGTGATGTTCCCACCAAGGCTCAGGTCAAGCAGTTGTCTCGCGAATGGGCTGAACGTGCTGCCCTGCCCCAACATGTTGTCACCATGTTGAACAATTTCCCCACCACCTTGCACCCCATGTCCCAATTTTCGGCTGCCATCACTGCCTTGAACCACGACAGTAAATTCGCCAAGGCCTACTCAGAGGTAAGTGCAGAACGACGAGACCGTTCCACATGATTTATTAATGGTTTGTCTGGATTTTTCTCTCTGCAGGGTGTTCACAAGTCCAAGTACTGGGAATACGTCTACGAGGACAGCATGGACTTGATTGCCAAATTGCCTGTCGTTGCTGCCACCATCTACTGCAACACCTACCGCAATGGCAAGGGCTCCAAGACCATCGATCCCAATTTGGATTGGTCCGCCAACTTCGTCAAGATGTTGGGCTATGACGATCCCCAATTCACCGAATTGATGCGTCTCTACTTGACCATCCACAGTGACCACGAAGGTGGCAACGTATCCGCTCACACTGTTCACTTGGTTGGCTCCGCCTTGAGCGACCCCTACCTCTCCTTCGCCGCCGGCATGAACGGTTTGGCCGGTCCCTTGCACGGTTTGGCCAACCAAGAAGTCTTGGTTTGGTTGCGCAAATTGCAAAGGGAAGCCGGTAACAATCCCTCTGAGGAACAACTCAAGGACTACATCTGGAAGACCCTCAAGTCCGGCCAAGTCGTTCCCGGCTACGGTCACGCTGTACTCCGCAAAACAGATCCCCGCTATACCTGCCAACGCGAGTTCGCCCTCAAGCATCTGCCCAACGACGAACTCTTCCAATTGGTCTCCAAGATCTACAAGGTCGTGCCACCAATCCTCACCGAAACCGGCAAGGTTAAGAACCCCTGGCCCAATGTAGATGCTCACTCCGGTGTCCTGTTGCAATACTACGGCATGAAGGAAATGAACTACTACACTGTCTTGTTCGGCGTCTCCCGCGCTCTCGGTGTGTTGGCCTCCCTCATTTGGGATCGTGCTTTGGGCTTGCCCATCGAACGCCCCAAGTCCTTGTCCACAGACATGCTCATGAAGATGGTTAAGAAGTAAATTATTAACAAATACCGTACACAGTAATAAAACCAAAAACTATTTCTAAAAACAACAACAAATATATCTGTCAAATCTGGAGGAACTCGTCAAAAGTATTCGAAAGCATACACTGATTTCGAATTATTTTGATTGTATTGCCATGATGCGAGGATATATAACTAGAGAAGAAACCACAACAAAACAACAACAAAACACATTTACTTAACGAATTAATGCTTAATTAATTTTAATTTAATTTAAATAATACAACAAACAAACAACAAAAATAAAAACCCTAAAATAAACCAAACATGTTGTGAATATTATTTGTTTATACAAAAGAGAAAATAATAGTAGTAAATCAAAACGGTTATACTCAAAAACTGTCCTTTAGCTGTAATCAGATTCAATATTTTGGATTTCCTCATAAACAATGTATTATTATTTTTTTTTTTTTTTTCAATTATCAAAGCATAATGCGATAGGTGGGTGACCTATCTCACACCTAAAATATCTAGAACAATAATCTACCAAATGAAATTATTCAAATATTTTGAATAAAAACAAGTTTGTAGTGTTCATCGTTGTAATGAAAACGAAACGTGTAGTTGGAATTTTGAAAACAATAAAGTAATTGAAAAGAAATACTATCTTAAAATTAAATGACATTTATTCATGTATCAAGTTGACAATACACTCATTATATAGAGTTAAAATCTATTATTTATGACAAGTATTGATATTCCATAACGTAAAGATGTTTTGGACAAGTTGAAATTTACTTGATTATGGCATTTCCAGCGGTGTATTAATAGTACAATGGAAGGTCACGTATTGTGTTCAAAATAAATAAATAAAAACTGAATAACACAATTTGTTTTATGACTATAGTGGGTTTACATTTTTCCAGTACCAGTAATTGGGGAAACTTGTTAGAATTGGGCTTCAGATTTACATTGCAAACTATTCTTTTTTTTTTTTACTTTAATAAATTTTTCAAAAAGGTTATTACTAGTTATCTCACAGTTTTAAATCGGCATCACAAAATAAAATACGATAGAAACCTTGTATAGGCCGTGGTATAGTTATTTGAAATTCTAGGCTGTTTTGAAAGTGTAAAAATGGCCCTTATTCTATATGTCGTTGGGGATTCGTTATTCTAAGTCTCAATATTGTCATTTGTTAGGGTTTTTGGTATTCTGTAAGAAAATTTGACGATGACATTGACTTGTATTGGAAAAATCCAAAATAAAATATTAAATTTAAAGCATTTTAATAAATAAGTTGGAGAGTTGACGGCGTTGTCGTCGTCAAGTAGAAGAAGGGTGAATATCTCTCAATCAATTCCTGAAACCCAAAGAATCCCCTGTAATTTTTTCTCAATGTGAGCAGTACAGCATTACAAGCTCAAATGTATCTATAGCACCCTAGTCAATTGTTTTCTGTGTCAAAAGTAGATTGTTAATACCCTATACAAGTTCAATTGTTCATCTGCATATCCCTACCTGTTGACAACTTTTCAAACTGTAGAACCCTTAATATCCACTATGAGCGCCGTTTTTGTGTGATTGGTTGGCTTTGTATTTATATAATAATAAAAAATAAAAAAGTAACAATTAAGCCGGACAACATCAATATCGGGAACAAAATATGGCCTACGATCTAAAAAAAGAGTCCGACGTTAAGGAGTACATAGACAAACTTGGAGTGGAGTACCGCTTCGGGTGTTATTCTGAAAAGAAACCGGAAGGTGGGAAGAGTTTTAGTTTAGTTTGTAAAGATTGCAGATTCTAACCTCCTTGTTTCTTAAAAAAAGTTAATAACACATTGCCAGAACTCTGGAATTAATTTTGTGCCTTTTCTTGTTGTAGTCTGTCATTTACTGGGTGACTATTTGGAGGGCATCAAAAAAGATTTCGAGAAAGCCTCTAAGGTATACAAATCGACATGTGACGATTATGGTTACGCAAAATCCTGCTTTAAATTCGGCAACTATAGCTTCTTGGGTAAGGGAAAGAGCGGAAGCAAAGGAGACCCTAAAGCCGCCTTTAGTTACTACGAAAAGGGTTGCAATTTGAATGATTCTGATTCCTGTCTGCACTCTGGTCTTTTGTTGGTGTCCCGTTCTATGCCAAAGGAAATCGATAGAGATGTCCAGAAAGTAAGTAATATGGAGAATGAATACATTCCATACGATCAGTGAAACATTTACGTTTTTCCAGGGTTTGACTTACCTGACAAAGAGTTGTGATATGAACAATGCCACAGCATGTTTTTACTTGTCTGGAATGCACATTTCGGGTGTCCAAAGTAAACCCGAAGAATACAATCCCCATGCACCACCAACAACCCAGAAACCTGTCAAGGACAGCGATTATATTGTACAAAAGGACATGAAAAAGGCATTTGAGTTTGCGTTTAAGGCATGCGAACTACGCAATATGTATGCTTGCGCCAATCTAAGTCAAATGTATGCGCGCGGTGATGGCACCGAAAAGAATGAAAAGGAAGCAGAAAAGTACAAGAAGCTTGCCATCGAAATGCAAGAAGAAATCAAGAAACAACAGCAGACTCTACAATTCCAACAAGGCCTAAAGAATCCGCAATAATATTGCAATGCAACATTGTTATACTGATGCCAATGAAGAGCTATACCTTGGAGGCAGCATACAATTGTGTTTACTTAAGCAATGTATATACCCAACGTTTTATTTCCAGGCTTTCCTTATGACGCCTTCTTCGAGTACGAAGTTAAGATATCCTCTGCAACTATTTTTCAGTTGTTATAGTTTGAATTTTGAATTGACGACGGTACAATATGATTAGTTTTATTTGTTACGTTTTTCTTTTTCTCTTCAGATCCCACGTATTAAGATAAAGTAATTTTTTTTTACAATAAAAGATATAGTTCTTTTGTTAAATTTTTAGTTATTTGCATTAGATCATATATAAATAAACGTATATATTTTTGAAAATGACAAGTAATAAAGGAAAACAATCGAAAAAATGCATTGCTATTTATTTTCTTAAATGAGTGGAATCGTGAGAGCAATCGTCTGAAGAAATATTAACTTATTTAGCTTTTTTGCAATTGTCTTGTATGAGCTGTTCACAATATTTTGCAGACGTTCCTGCATCCTTCAAAAGAATAAAAATATATATATTTTAAAATGAGTTAGTGTGGTGAAACAAGGGCCAAATTTTCTCATTCCATATTGAACATTTTTCAATAGATTTTAATTTTAATAGTTTATCTTGATTTAATTTTAAATTTTGATAGAAAAGTCTTAATATCGAATGTTAAGAGTTGAAGGTACTTATTCCTAAACTTTATTTCTATCGCAATTTTTTCGATGATAGAATTTGACCCCTGTCCTTTTAACTTCTGGAATATTGTATTTTTATACAATATGAATGCTACTACAGGGAAAAAGTTACAAAAAAAATTTGGAAAGTAACGTTAATGGCTATGCTACAATAATTTTTATGGAGAATCAAATATAACTTAAATGTGGATTTATATAATAGAAGCGTTAATAATATTAAAATCTGGAGTTTTTACTGAAAATTGTACTGTACGCCTTTCCATTTTAAATATATTTTTGTGTTCTCTCCGCAAAAATAGCGTTTTTGGAAGAAAAAACTTCCTAACAAATTCCAATGGGATTCAGCAAAGAATTAATTAAAAAATATATAAATACTTTTCTTGCAGTCTCTTCATAAATAAAACCAATTTCTTTTTTAAAATCTGTTTTTATTCAATATTTAAATTAAAAATCTTATAAAATAAATTAAATTTCTTTAAATTGTTTATATTTAACGCAAAAATGTTTATACATTATATTTCTCGAGAAATGTTTGCAAATTTAAAATGTTCCTTACACGATGACACGAACTGAGTGTTTGTTTTTGGGGCGGTCTATATATTATTTAATATGCATTCATGTATTTTTTATAATAAATGATAAATTTCGAGACAGGTGCATAATCAGGACATCTGCGAAGACAAGAAAAAAGTTGTTGGTACAACAAGATCCCAAGATGGAATAATAATAATACTTAAAATAGACTTAAACAATGATTCTCTTTCGGTTTTTAGATTAGAATTATATCTTTGTTGGTGTTGGTGTTGTGTGGGTTTAGGTTTGGGTGCGCGTTACGTGAAATTCCTGTTCGATGACCTTAAACATCATTTGTTGTAAGGACTTGCTCTTCTGCTGATTGTGTGTTATGCGTTCTACAGATGATTTGGTTCTTCTTCTTTTTGTTGTTGTTGTTGTTGCAAATAAATGGACTTAAATCGATTTTGTTTTAACTGATATCTTAACTTAACAAAACGACATTAGCATTAGTATCTGCACACTCCGAGCTGCCATGTTCAGAGCATTGTGGAAGCTTTTCACGATCTGCCACATGTTGGTAAATTCACCCGGAAGAAGACGTTCAATTCGATCAAGGAGGCAAACACCAGAAATACCAAATATATCACCAGACAGGCCGTGCCCACTTTTCGATCCAGTTTAAATTTGTTGCAGGAGAAGGTCAAATACAAAAGAAACAGGGTGGAGAGCAATGTTATGGCAGAATATTCCAAGCCAGCGGAATTAATGCCAACATAATTTTGACCTGGCTGTATGGGGAAGAAGACAGCTTTGATGAGCCATGGTACACCCAAACACAGTAGGATATCAAAGGTGTTGGAGCCAATTGAGTTGCAAATACCCATGGAGCCATGACCTGGACGAGAGAAAACCAGTTATCAGTGTTATGAATATGAGCAAATGTCAAATGTTAGTAAAATACCTCGTTTGGCTACAATGACACTGGAAACCGCTTCGGGCACACTTGTACCGGCCGCCAAGAATGTAATTCCCATAACTGAGTCCGGAATCTTTAAAGTATCGCCTGAAATAGGGGAAGGAAGAATTTTAGATTTTTTAGTGTTTTCTTCTCTTGCGTCACGCTTACCAATTATTGTTATCATCCATGCAACCACATACGACAGCGATCCAATCCAAACTATGCACATCACAAATGTCAGTGGAAAGATTTTATTGTTCTTGGCTTTTTTACAATCCGGTATGGCAATGCGGAATAGCAAATGTATTGGCCAAATAATAATCCATGTGAACTGGGCAAAGCAGCTCTTGCCCCAAGGATATGTTAGCAGGGAATAGCCCTCTTCCTCCTCCTCGCCATTTGTTGAGGCTGTATCATTGGCTGTAGCAGTAGGAGCTTCAACATCTGTGTTTTCTGGTGTTGTTGCCGGTGGAGACTTCACAACACAACCGGAATTATTTGTAGACACCGTGGAAATGGTGGTGGTTATGGTGTTACTTATACAGGTGGTGGCGATGGCCGGTGTTGTGGATGTCGGTGCTTTGGCTGATTCGTTGTTCACCCCACCGTTCAATTGAATTGTAGATAAGTTGTGACATATGCGATTCTCCACAATTTCTAAATGGGGAAGGGAAAAGAATTAGCCAAATATGCTAAAGTAAATAACATCAACGACATAGACAAAGGCGTGGCATGACGTGAAAGGCGCCGAACAAACAGGAAGTAAACATAGAATAGAACATTACACGTGTGAGCATATTTACAAGTGGATATTAGGGATATTAGTGTGATGGATAGGCAAAATTCGAACTGGTGACATTCTCAGAAAATCTCTTGTTTGTTTCAGAAAAGCAGCGAATTATTGAAAATAGTTAGAGAAGACAATCTGACGTTTGAAAAACATATCTCTTGGAATGTTTTTATGCGATAATAGTGATAGAGAACAGGTAGAGGGGGAGGGCAATAAATATGCAGTAGGTGAGCCTTTTTTTTGTTGCGGAAATTAGAAGAATCTAGTAGTAGGTTGGTAAAGAGAGAAAGGTGTAATTACACAAAAAATTGAAGGGAACTTTAAATGAAAATGTAGTTTATTTAAATAAATTTTCATTAAAAGCTTCCTTGTGTTTCGAGATCTAATCACGACATACATTTAAAGATTAGCTTATATAATTAAATTGCAATTTTACAATTAATGCCATGGCTAGAACTCAGTTAACAAGAATTTTGTTTGTTACACGAAAAGCTATGGAACAAAACAGGAGTAGGGATTAGGCAAAAGTTTAAATCATATTTAAGTAAACCTGGTTCTTTGTCATTGCTGTTCTTGGTCTGTATACTACAATTGGAGGAGCGGCTGCGTGAACGAGCTTGTTTAACACCACCTGTTTCCATGTTTTTTTTTTTAATTTTTCATTACAACAAAATCATCAATATCAGCAACCAGAATTATCGATTAAAATTTCCATGCTTACCCTTGGCACATTTTTGAAAGGTCTTGTCAAAATACATAACGGCTAAATAGACGGCATAGAGAGACACCAAAATCAAGGCCTCGTACCATTCAACTCGCTCATCGTGCATTACACAAATCAAAACGGCCACGGTAAATCCATAAGCTATGCTGTCGCGTGTCAATGGCCACCAGTCCAAGGGTATTGTCTGCAAGATGAATGCATTTCCGAGAATAATTTCCAATTATAATATTTCATGTAAAATTAGAGCTTACCATTCCGGCTCCAATGCCGCAACAGGCCGCCACTGCCAATATATTAAAGACAGCTGAGCCCACAATGGTGCCCACACCAATGTCACCCTCTGTAATAAATGTACCTATCACATTTACAAAAAGTTCTGGAGCTGAAGTGGCAGCAGCCATGAATGTGGCTCCCGCAACATCATTGGACATATTAAGGGCTGAAAAGATGGGATTTACGAAAAAAGATTAGAAGATGGTTTCTTTGGCATTGCAAGAGGTTGGCCGGTTTTACCTGCACATATTTTTTCCACGGCGGGCACAAAATATTCATCACATACTACAGCTAAGGCTACGAATAAATATAAACTGGCTATAACATGAAGTACAACAGCACCCGACTGTCTCTGGGCCTCGGTGAATAAATCCCGTGGAAAATCATCTATAGCAGGCTGTGTACAATTTATATCTAAGGGAGGTGGGGGGGAGAAAAAAGAAGGATTAATAAAAAATGCGTTAATTTCGAATGGGTAATTCAAAAAATATTTTGCGCTTAAACCTGGATTATCATAATAGATCGATCGATATTTTTTAAATTGACATATTTGAAGGCAGCTCTTTTCCAGAACCTGGCGCAATTGACATCCTTATAATTTGTTTTTATTTTTCTAAATCTGGTTCCTTAAAAACTTTCCTTCTTGCTCAGAGAGTAAGGTAGTTATATTCTCTTTTACAAGACAACTGTGCTGTAAAATGCAAACAGTCAACATTCCTGAGTAACCAATCAGCTGATTAACCGAAAAAAAAACAATTTGTGCGCCATAATAGAAACAAAGGATAAACAATGTTGTTTTTTAAGAGAAAAAACAGAAAGTTTTATTAAAAATAGTTTTATGAAACATAGTTTTGTAAAATAATTTAATTTTAAGAAAGACAAGTGACTGCAAGAAGAAAATTACCCGGCAAAAATTTGCAAACACTCACAACACTCTCTCGAATCGTTATCTACTGCAGAACATGTCTGTTAACAGACGACTCCCAGTTAGAATTTGGGAAATTGGTGTGTTCGATATCCCAATAATTTGTATAAATTATTACAAAATTTGAATACGTTTAAAATCTATTTGACATATAAGACTCTAGTACAGAGTTGTATTTTTCCTCGTTCCCTTGGAGTTAAATAAAGTTTCAGGCGATTCTACTAGTTTAGTGTGTTTTTGGATTATGTGATTGATTTTGAGGTTTGATCATGGTAGAATTAAGAAGGTAAAGCCATGCAATCATACGTTTAATTTTTTTTAAATTATTCATTTGACATTGACATTCATTGTAAACACAGAAATCAGAGATGGGAAACTGTATTTTATTCGGTGAAATTTGACAAGGTAAATTACAGAAAATGCAGAGATGGCCAGTCTTTTTTGAAATGACGTTACGTTCTTAATTTTACCATGGGTTTGATATTTTTCTTAACTATTTCCTATTGAGCTCATTTCAAATGAGCATTCCCAGCTCTGCATTCTTTGTAACTTGCCTTGTCAAATTTAGCAGCATTGAAAATCGGCTCCCATTTCTGATTTCTGTATACCTAATGAATAAACCATGACTTATATAAGCTCGACCAGCAACCCCATCTAACAACTAAGTTTGCTGTCAAAAAACATATTGTGAATTTAAACTCAAAGAGAGTTTAACAATAGTGCAAGAACAACATAGTTTAGTGTCAAATTGTTATTAAAAGTAGTCTTCTTGTCCCACCTTATATATTCTTTGGAATAAACATTTTGAGAATAAAATGTTGTAAAATTTGGAAAAAATTGTTAACAATTAATTGCACGGACAAACCCCTAAGGCTGCAAATATATAAAAAGCTTGAAGTCATGGCTAGGCATATTAATGCCAAATTATAATGAAAAACGATGGCAGGATTTTAGTGCGGCTCTGTAATTCCTTTGTGAAATGTCACAAAATAGGCCGTGCCATGACTTCAAGCTTCTTATGTACTTAGCCCTTAAGTTCTACCGTAATTCATATTTTCAATTTAAATTAGTTCAATGAATTATTTATTAGTGGTATTTTACAAAATTCTGGCGAATCCAACGAACAAATGATTAAAGGGTTTTTTGTGAACTGTGATGGAATTTACCAGTCTTCGGCAATGGTCCTTATTAAGTTTTTCAATATTGGTCTGTCTAAAACTAGCGTCTTTTTACATATGCTTAAGTAATAAATAGCCCAATTTACAAAATTAAAACGGAAATCGGATCATGGGTCGTATGCGTATTGCAAATATTGATCATACGCACAGGTGTACCGCATATTCATCCTTTTGCAATCGACGACAAAAACTAATTTATCGAAATGTCATTTAAATGTTTAAATTTGGCGGCAAACTGTTTAAATTCTTCAATTCTTCTAAATTGGAACAAATGCCGACTTAACAGAGCAAAAAAAAAAACCCTGACTTGTCAGCTACTAAAAAATGACGACAACACAATAAACAAACTTAAATTATATCTATTATAAAGCGGCGGTACTACTTTTACACAATTTAAAATTAGAAAAAAAGAAAACAACAGCAACAACAACATTGCAAACAATTTTAATTGATTTAGAAAAAATGGAAAGAGAAAAAAAAATGAAAATTAAAAACGCAACTTAAAAATAATTTCAATAGCAATGATTGCCAAGAACAATAACAAATTTGTTTCAAGATTGAACGAAAAAATACAACAACAACAACAAGAAGAACAATAGCAGCAACATCAAGCCAAATGATAAACGGAAGCTATAAACTAAGTATTCAATGCGGCAATAAACAATGAGCGATAAAGATCTTACATTTCCACCAGAGAAGATATCCAAATCTAGCGAACGAAACGAAATATTATGGATAATTAAATGCTGTTGAGCCTCGCCGATGCGAGGCAGATAAAGTCAGAATGCGGATTTTCTCTAATGTTTTGGCTTTTGACATTCGTTGTGAAAGCACACCGACACAGACACACACACCCCCACTCTTACTCTCAAGTAAAAACACAAAAAAGAAACAACAACAAAACAAAAAGACCGCCTTTGAAACACCCTGTGTCTCTGTGTTTGTTCGTTTGTTCGTTCAACGGTCAAGTAAAATGCTTTCTCTCTCAATTAAATGATTCTTAAATTGCTTAATTAAGTCTGAAAAAATAAGTAACAATAAAATAAAATCGCAAACTACTGGCTACTGAGAGACATACGGACAGACAGATAGACAGGCAGGCTGGATGGATGGCCTGGCCAACAAACAGAAATCACGAACCTCTACTCTGGTGCGAACACATTTCCACATACGCACACATACATACACACCTACATTTGTAGATTTATTTGACTTTGCAATACGCGCGGAATTGAATTGAAATGTTTGCCTACTAATGTGAGAGAACTCTGAGTGTGCGTGTGTGTGTGTGACGATTATTGTCTCTTTTCTCTTTACACATTGTTATGGGGGAAGAAAATCTGTTGTTGGTGTTGTTAGGTTACGGAGCGTTTGTTTATGATGAGAATTCGATGGCAAATTGATTTTGAAATTCTAACAATTGATTTGAGAACAAAAACAAAAAACGTATGCATTTCGAAAATATTTGCATACAAGTTTAGTTATTATTTTGCAAAAATACAGTGACATTGACATAAGCTCATAGTAAATGCCCTTTCTTAAATGGAACCTTGAAAAATGATTGACGTTTGGGGTATTGTGCTTTTATTATTTCCATTTTTTGAAAGATAATCGGTGAGATTTACGAAATTTAAATGCCATTATCACTGTCCAATATTATTTCAGAAAATTGCTACTGATAATGTCGGGGACACGTGGGAAATTAGACATATTAAGGTTTTGTTTTTTCCCATGCCCTCCTTTACGGATTGTTTCGGTGTTTTTTATTCATTTTTGAATGATCTAAAAATTGGAAATAATTGAGCATAGCGGGGCTTGCGGTCGTGGTTAAATCAGGGAAGTTAAAAATGAATCTGAATATGTGAAAATACTTTGATTTGCTTAAAAGAAATCTTCGTAAGTCGCATGGCAGCCATCTTTTATACAGGGTGAGATGAAAGAACTGCAACCAACTTCAGACAGCTGTCATAAGCCACTTGTCCGACAGTTGTGAAAATTATTCCAAATTATTCCAAAATAGACTCAAAAGAGCTAAAGAGTTACTTCGCTTGGCCGAAAGTGGTGAACTGCCGAATTTGGTTTACTCCAATGAAAAAACATTCATTGTCCAGCAGTTTGTAAACAAACAAAATGGTCATGTTTACCTGCCAAAAAGGACAGCTGAAAATGTGCACCTTCGGTTGGCCACCAGAACTCAAGCGTCTGCCATGGTGATGGTGTGGGCCGCCATAATAGCCGATGGTCACTCTCCGCTCTTATTAATCGACCGTGGCATCAGAATAAATGCCGAATATTATCGCGAAAATATTCTGGAGAGAGTATTAAAGTCTTGGGCACGCAAACATTTTGGCCACAGACCTTGGACATTCCAACAGGACCCAGCACCATCGCACTCAGCACACGCCACCCAAGAATGGTTACAAAATGAGGTTCCTCGCTCCATATCCAGGGAATGGATTCTTGTTCTATGAAAATATGAAATGAAAAATATTTCCTTTATAAAATTTTTCATTTGACATTTCTTTCCTTTATAAAAAAATTTGGAAAAAATGTAAAAACTATGGCGTCTGACTTTGTTGCAGTTTTTTTTATCTCGCCCTGTAGTGTTCACATCCGCTACATAAAACTTATACAGTTCTATAATAAAATACATTCTTTAGTAGTTCCCAAAAGATGTGCTTATTCAAAGGACTTCGACAGATTTTTTGATATTTGAATGGTTTTACCACATTTATCAAAGATTTGTCTGTAAATGATTAATTTAACTTCGTTTTAGTCCACTTTTAGGCTAAGCTTCCATGTAATGATATTCAATAGAGAATTTAAATAAATGAATTTATCTTTAGGAACGATATTTGGTATTTCAAGTTCGTATTTTAATGATAGAACATTTTTCATTATTTCAATGGTGCAGGGTACAACAAGTTTGGCCCATTCTAACTCATGTTTCTTCTTGTTTTATCCCAAAAAATACCTCATTTGGTTGCAGATTTCGATACAGAGAGGGATAACTATCACTTTTTCAATAATTTTCCCATCTCCGATTAAGAATTTCTTCACTCATAAGCAAAAACAAAAAAATAAATTCAAATCTGTAACATCCAATTGATGATTTATTTATCTTTTTGATTTAAAAAACAATATGACGATAGTCTTGCGTGCCTCATCAAATTAGGCTAAACGAAATTTAGCGTTGAGAATTATTGAATAATGATTGCGATAAATGCGATGTCATCTGACTAATGATCATAAAAATATCATTTAAATTAATTTAATTTACAATTAATTATTTATAGTTGATATATAAAATA